ATCAAACTTCTCAAGCATATTAATCCTTATCCTCGTCATACTTGTAGAAGCAAAACTTGTTGGAATTGGTTGTGAGGTCGATCTACTTACTTCCTTCAATTACACAACTTCTTGCCACAGACTCTGAACTTCTTCCATAGGGGTAGGCATAGTACCTCGATGATTCATTTTAAAAATATGTGAGATTTCTATTCTTAGAATATTGACAAGCTCATGAAGATTTGTAATAGTTAGAAATCTATTTTTACTTCCGCTAAAAGTAGTATCCATAATCTTTTCTTCTATAAACAACTCAAAGAAATTCAAAAGTTAAATTAGAGGAAGGTAATCCACAATCTCTAATAAAAATTTCCACAAAGAGAGATAATCTACTCTTTTTAAAGAAAAGATTAGTGTTAGAAAATAAGATTTTTTCTTTAAAGGTGGATAGTCTGTAATCTTCAAAATACAACAATAGAATTGAGATAATCCACTCACTTCTAAAATAAGACAAAAATAGTATGTTAGTACTCTTGTCAAACTGTCAAGGACATGAATCTTGAAGAAAGAAAATCTTCAATACACTCTTGTATCACTCAAGAGAACTAGAAAGCAACTCAAAAGGTGATGTAATATTAAACTAGAATGGCTATTGTTAAAAAGAAGAAGACTAGAAAGTCTTGAAACAAGACTAAAGACTAGAAAAGCATTGACAAGAATGAAGAAGGCTTCACTCTTGCCTCCATATATATTCTTAACTAGGAGCTACATGGTGATGTCCTATAAGACCTCCAAAACGTGTTGACTTTGAAAGACATGTATCTTAACTTGCAAGACAAGTTTTCTATATGTACGCCACATAGTTAGCTTGTTTCGCAAGATATCAATATGTGGTTAACTTGTTGACTAAGTTTCTAACCTACCAATCAACTACAAACACATGTAAAGTCAAGCAGCATCTATGAAGCCTCTAAGAAGCTTCTCCAAAAGATCTTATGAAATTAATCTACTTTAATGTACTTTTGCCTATTTCTACTTAATCATATAGGTATTTACTAGAATATCTATGTATATCCATGAGAATTGGTGTATTTGTGAGTCCAAAAGTTATGATATTATATTCAAAATATACATATCTAGTTCAAACCAAAGTCTTCTATTTATTTCCTTCTTTGATGTGTATCAAGTTATATTGCCTTTGTAAATCTATTTTTGTATATATCTTTACTTGATTAAGTTGATTAAAAAATTATAATAAATACAATCAAAGAAATATTTATACTTTCAATTATTTTTCTATGCCTTTAGTATATTAATAAGAATATTATAAAAAAATTACAAGCTTGACTTTACATATGAGCAATGATAAGAATTTTTGAAAGACTAGCACTTAGTGGTATTTATGTATTTCAAGGATGAGTTTGAAGAACAATGGAGCATCTTTGTAGAAACCTAGAATGTCAATTTTTTCAAAGAATATACATATATATATATATATATATTTTAAGAATACACAGATTGATGTGCATAAAAAGATGTTTATTATTGCTTTGATAAACAAGATTTTTTACTTTGGTAATTATGCGACCTCCACAGCAAAAAAACATGTATTATACATTCAAGCAATATCTTGGATCAAGCAAATTTGATTTTCTTGGCATATGCAAGGAATTGAAATTTTGCATCAAGAACATGCACAAGGAATATGTGGCATAACTTTTTCATGAAAAGATGGATATCTTAGTATTTATCAATCCAACTTCTTGCCATGAGATCTTTCAAGTTGTCAATTAATTAATCTCTCTAAGTATTGAAGAAAATCTATAAGCAAGCTCAACTTATACATTTATATTTCATAGGTAATATTAAGCCATGCAAAGGAATTATTATTGCAATTCTTAGTTTACCATGCTCACATCTAATTCAAACTATGTCATGTAAAGAGCGACTCTTTAATCTCAACAAATTTGATTGCCATTGGCACTTGTCAAAACTAGTTATAATCCTCATTTTTGTCATAATATACTCAATTTTTTATCCAATACATTGGAATAGGTTTCAACAACCACCAATAGCTTTCTACTATATCAAAAAATGTATGGACTTATAGAATTCTAAATTATATCATAGTAATAATTACAATCTATTGAAAAACTACAGATGGCACAAATAATAAGGCATTTGCTACAGAGAAATGATACAAAAAGAAATCTATTTGGATTTGAGCTTTTCCAATGTAAGGTGTTGATAATGTCTTATGGTGCATGTCGTGATGTTGGACATTTGCAAATTAATCACAAGTGCCTACAATGTAGATAAGCAATAATAGGACAAAGTTTAAATTTAATTTTTTTTATTATTTTTTTTTCTTTCTATATTTATACACTATGATATAATATTATGTAAGTTATAATCATTGATCCTACCAATGGTAATGTAGTTGATAAATATGTATAAGCTATTTAAATGAGACTTAAAAATTTGCATGTATGTTGAAATAAGTTTATCTTATAGTTAATAATTAATTAAACATATGATTTTCTTGATTTCAATTCATTGTAAGATTTTAATTATTTTTTTTATACACTAAAATTTATAAAATAAAGTATAAGATTTCATTCATGCTTAAAATTGCAAAAAAATTAATATTTGATTTAAATAAATTCAATACCATTATTATTCTATTATTCTATTATTTATTTAAAATTTTATTTTTTATTAACAACTTTGTTGTTTTCTTACTATAATCATGGTTAAGAAAAGATAATTCTTTGTTAATATTCTTTATTTCTAATTAAAATTTAAACACTCCTTTTAGGTACAAACCACTCTCAACCATGCTGATTGCTAAGCTTACAAAGCAAAGTTGAGACACTTATCTGGTTTGATCTGGAAAGAATCACAGGTGGAAGTTCAATGCCTTATAGAATCCTTGTGTATTTGGTGACCTATTTATCCATCCTAAGCGATTATCATCTGCAGTGTTTTTGTCTTTCTGTTTGAACAAAATATAAAAACATGACCTGAGCAACTTAAAAGCATGAAAAGAAAAGTTGGTAAATGTAAAAATTTTAATGTCTTTTTACATGGATTGTAACGTTTTACTCACTATGATACGCCAAAATACTGTTGAACATATCATTCGCAACCGAAAGCAAGCAAAGCATTAATGGGAGGCGTGCATTATAGGGGTGATTGATCATCGACACCTCTCACTGGATACTGCACCACGCACAATGTTGTATTTATTGGGCTCCATAACTCTTCCCGTTGCTGTAGGTGATAAGGTCGATTTTAGGAGCAACTGTGTGTTTTTGGACAAGAGCTTCTGGCCGGAGTTCAACACACCATTTTATATAGAAATTGAAATGATAGTCTCAACAGCAACAACATCATAACCGACATGGACTTTCAAAGACTCTGATACGAGGTCAGCAGTAGAATAACATGAAAAGTCTGAATTTCTATATATTGAAATAATATACTGCTGACCACGTATCCAAGTCAGCAGTCTGAATATCCATGTATGTTTCCAAGTCTGAAGAAGCAGCATAAAGTTTTATCAAGTAAACTAATTTTTAGAAGTTTTATACTCAACAGATGATATGTTTTTTTTGTATTTATGGAAATATAACCAGAATACAAGATTGAAAAAGTTTTGTTCGCCTATTTCTGGTTCAAAGTATGTCTATCATATTTACCTCCTGGCCACCATCTCACTGGCCGTGCATTGTAACTAAGGCTTCCGCACTTTTTCTGATGCCGTAGATAGATTTGTTGGTCACAATTGAATGCAGTTTTTGAGTGTTTTCTAAGCTGATTTTGCTTTGCAAAAATGGCATCTTTTTCTTGTAAGTCAAACTACCACTGCGCTCTCTACATTTGCTTAGAGTCTGGGAGCTCAGTAAGCCCAGCTTCATAAAGGTGGGTTTGATGATTAGCCAAATTCACATTCCTGAAGAAAGATTATGGTGGTCAGCAGTATATTTTCCTCAACAGAATTGTATTTCATGCCTATATGACATGGTATATCATGAAGAGAATAAAGCAGCATGCATTGAAACTAGAAAGCATAGTTGTCATGTTCAGCATTGTCGTTCAAGAAAAAAAAAAAAATTGAGAAGGACGCCATGAGAGCATTGCTGCGGAAATGGTCAGCAACAAGAATTCTGCCAATCTAACAATAACCATTGACATCCAAACCACAGCCAGAAAAAAAAAGGACCCCTTAGAGTTTAGTATACTGCTTCCTTGCATCATCGATGAAAGTGCGGAAGAAGTGCTTGATGTCTTCTTGAACAAGGAGTGGAATTTTATACCAGCCATCCAGCCAAACAACCCTTAAAGATGACAACTGTAGTTATCTTTGTTGCGACAAACGACACATACTTGTGTTCTGAATGTGGAATGAAAGTTGGAAGCTTTGCATTGTGATTATTTGGTTTGAAGCTGGTATATTACGTGTGCCGAGTTACTATTCAACTTGGCGCACCTGCTACCGATGAATTTGAGTCAAGTGGAATAACTGAAACTACTTACTACTCAAGTTGGTCTAGTTGGCGATGTTATGCCGAGGTGCAGGTGGCTGATGTGTAGTTCTAGGTAGCTCGTAGAACCGATGTGTAGACTTACGCCAACAATCTTATATCATTTAAACACAATAATCGGTGCTACATTTAATACATAGCATCCATGCAAAGGATCAACAGCACCCCGTCGCTCTGCTGTGATCTCGGTACTAAAAACTCAAATACGCTCGCTCTTCACGCGCTCTTCATGGTATAAATATTCCTCACTGTTATGGAACACCAAGCATCCAGTCCTCTGTATTGATTCTGTAGTTCGGAGTTCAGCGGGTATTCGTCCTCTCTATCGTGAAACTGAAGCACACATGGTACAAGTGCTGGTTTAGGTGCGCAATAGACATTTTCATTCTTTTGAGGCTGCATCGGCAATTCCACCAGCTTGTGTCCATCTCTCTCTCACCCCAGTCTTGCTAAGCTTCATCTCCAATCTCCAAAATGAAAGCTACCGCCACCAGCATCATCTTCGCCCTGGCAGTTTTGAGTGCCATTGCCCTTGCCAGTTGCGATACTCAATCCTGTGAACGCTCTGCGCAATGCGGGGATTTTCCAACTAGCGACTGTAACGCCGCCTTTAATAAGATAGCACTGACCAAGCGTTACTACGTCAACAACGGGATGTCTGCAGCTGGGGTCTGCTCAGGGCACTGCTACATCTATGTCACTGGGCTGAACACTCTCAACTGCGACCTGTCTGGGCGAGAGATGGTTGTGGCATATGATGAATTGAGGAACCGAAACTGTCGTAAGTGCGGCGTCAAAACGTATGGTGATGGTTGCCAGTTCAAGATAGACTACACCAACTCCTGCTGATCTACATGTTGCACTTATGTAGTAAATCTGCTGAAGTCTCGACCTAGCGGATTTAAATCAAAAAGGCTTGTGATCTGCTTGATCATGCACTCCGCATAATGTGAGTTGTGAGCCGTAAAGATTAATCCCATGTCTTGTGTTGTTACTGTAATTATTAGTCGATAATAAAACTGGGTATCCATAATATTGTGCTTCTCTTCATTACACGAAGACCGTTCTTGATAAAACGTTCTGAGGAAGCAATGCTTGAACGGGAGTGTTCTGTTGGCTATGTCTAGAATAGCTCGTTACTTAAAATGTCCTTGTTTAAAGAATTTGTGCAAATTTAAGTTGAAGAGTACAGCAGGTCTTCACCTCTAGTTATTTGGTGAAACCTCGACTACAGTCTGAACCACTTCGGCTACTTTTGCTCATGACATGATAAGATCCGCAGTTTGGTAAGCACCTAGCAGAATGAGTGAGTGCTCGTAGTTGAATTCAATCTCTACAATATTAATTACAAAGAGGATTATAATTGTCAAAAAAATTAAACACGCAATACTACAGGCATCACAGTCCTGTGTTGAATGCGATAGTTGCAAAGATTCTTGACACTAAGATTGTCTCATCATCTGTACTCTATCTTCATGCAAAGCATGTAATAAATCCAACCTTAAGTAACAAATGGTAAAATTTAGAAGACCATAAGATCAAGGTTTGAATTGTCCATTAAGAATTTAATCCACTTATGTTGACTTAACATAAAGAACACAATTTCTTCTATAAATTACTTTCCAAGAATATTATATTTCATCATTCAATATTCAATGCATAAAATTATTCAACTTGAAACATAATAAAAAAAGATGTTTATTATTTGTTCTACTTTGTACAATTTTGTTTAAAAAATTGATTTCTATTTAGAACTAAGCAATGTAATAGATTCATATGTTGCTTAAGTAAATAGAAATAAGCTAAAGTAGATAAATGCATATTAAGTAGATAACATCATTTTTTAAAAACTTCAATTTTTTTTTGTAAATCCAAATCAAACTATTATATTCCACATGGATATGCCACGTGGCTATCAAAACTATTTTGTATTTGTAAGAAGCTACAATGAAAGCAATTTATAATTTAATGTTTAGGCCACAAGTCTTGTTGGCCTTGGAAAGCTTCCACAAGATTTTCTTTGAGTCTAATGTAAGTAAAGCAAGACCACAACCATCTTCAATTTTGTCGATGCATTTCTATTATTTTGATTTTGATTTGAGAGTATTTAATTTCTATATATAAAGCAATAGCCATTCAATTTTTTTATTTTAAAATCTTATATCTAATTTTTCTTTGCTTATCTTTTCTTTTTTTAGTAAAATAAGAGAACATTATTTTATCAAAATTTTATCAAAATTCATGTACTTAACAAGTAAAATTTTAAATTTTAAATATTATAATTTTTTGTATTATAAAATAAAATATAATGACTAAATTTATTTTACTATAAAAAAATATAATTTTTTTTAAATATATATATTTTTAAAAATAACTATTTAATTTTTTAGTAATAATATAATTTAATTATATATATATATATATATATATATATATATATATATAAGTTTGTTGAAATAATAGTCTTTTAGAAGTAAAAATTTATTTCTTATTTAAAAGGTTGTTATAACAAAATGCATACATAAAAAATTATAGAATTCTATAATTATATTTATTTAATTAAAAAAATTGTTGGTGTTTATATTTTATTTTTTATTTAAAATATGATATAATTTTTTAATTAATTTGATTTCTTATAAGCTCATACCAGTGAACG